CAGTTCTACCTTACAAATCCAGCTAGATCAGAGCAGGTACATTGGTACAGATAAGATTCCTGGGCATAAGACAGGGGAGAAACAGGAACTGACTACAATGAGGCATAATCACCACCGTCTCCCCAGGAGCACAAATAACAATTACAGGGGTTAAGGGAGACAGTTAAGGTGTACGGTATGAAAATAATAATTTATAATTTATCTGGGGTCCATGAGGGTGGGAAGGTAGGGAAGTGAGGGAAAAAAAGAGGAAATGATACCAAGGGCTCAAACAGAAAGAAAATATTTTGAAAATGATGAAGGCACCGTATGTACAAATATGCTTGATACAATTGATGTATGGATTGTTATAAGAGCTGTAATAGCCCCCAATAAAATTATTTATTTATTTATTTAAAACATATATAGCATCTAGGGTCTTAAAGACATGAAGTCAAACAAGCGGCCATCTAGCAGGGAACCAAAAAAAGCCCATGTGGAAGCAGCATGCCAACTTGTGTGATCATGAAGTATCAACAGTTAAAGGTATCAGAAGTTAAAAGAAAAACAAACTATCAGAAGTTTGGTTAGTGGTAAACAACCAAACTGATGTCAAGGAACATAGGCAAGGTGGAGACCCAAAGCCCACTGGAAGACAATTGGACAGTCCCTCACAGAAGTGCTGATATGTCCAGGGTGCAGTATAATATATAGCACTGATCCTCCAGTTCTGTAAGTGGTCCTCCTCCCACTCTTACGGCCCTAGTTTTACCTCAATAACCTTGCTAGTCCTATGTACATGACTGGGTATAACCAAGACCTTTTGATGTGTGAAATTCAAGATAGATTATCCCCTCAGAAACAGTAATGGAAATACTGGCTTCCTGAGGAAAGAGGAATAGAGGGGGGCAAGGGGGCACAGATGGCTATGAAGACTGTATAACCCCACTCAAAAGGAACAAACACCAGAATGTAAGGAGAATGGATACATGGGATGGTGTAAGTTAAGGCAAAAATATATATATTAATTTAGAATATATTGAGGGCTCGGGGTGGGGGGTGGTGGTAGGGAGGGGGAGAGGGGAGAAAGTAGAGCTGATATCAAGGAGTTCACGAAAAGAAAATGTATCAATGATGAGGGCCACAGTTGTACAGTTAGGCTTGACCTAATGGAACTATGGATTGCAATAATAACTGTAAGAGCTCCTAATGAAAAGGTTTTGTTCTTTTAAAAAGAATGGATTGAAAGAGAAAATAAATTATAAGATGTTAAATTTTAACCTAAAAGAAAAAAGAATGACAATCAGGTATCTGCAGTCAATGTGGGCTGAGATTCAAGGATGACATTCCCGCTCCGAGCAGCCAGAGCACAGAGAGGCCCATAGGGCTGGCCTCACCATGAGACACGATATCCCCTTCCTGACCCACAGCACTACAGGGGTGGGGCCAGCACCAGAGACACAGTGTGGGAATTGTGCCCAGTCTGATCCCCCCTTCCCCACTCCGCCCCAAACACACACCAGGGGATAATACCAAGGGAGCGCAGGAGAGCAGCAAAGGGAGCAAAGCAACAAAGTCCCTGAGGAATTCTGAAAATAGACTTCAGACTCAGTGGGAAGGGCTTGACATTGCATCAGGCCTGATCAGAAAAGATTCATAAGGGTCAGCAGACAGACCTGGAACTAATCATAAGCTATTTTTGTTTTATTTTCTCTTGAAAAAAAAAAAG